GAAGACTTGAGTTTAGAAGTGCGACAGAACATGTGGTTTCAACATGATGGTTGTCCGGCACACTATTCGGTGGCAGCACGGGAAGTTCTTGATCGTGATTTCAATGGTCGCTGGATCGGTAGAGCTGGTCCGGTGAATTGGCCTGCTAGATCACCAGATCTTACTTCGCCAGATTTCTTTTTGTGGGGCTATCTCAAAGACAAAGTGTACAAACAAGAACCAACAATACGCGAAAATATGATAGACCGAATCAGTAAAGCTTGTGCCAAAATTCAAGCAGACACACTTCTCAGTTGTGTACAGTCATTTGAATTTCGGATTAATAAGTGCATTGAAGTCGAAGGCCATCATTTTGAGCACTTACTTTATTGAAAGATGATGAGGCGAGGGGACTCACGTTAATGAAGCACCCCGATACGTGAGAGGCGAGGGGACTCACCTTAATCAAGCACCCCGAAAAGAACAGAAAACTGCTACGTCCACGTCGTTGTTCCTGGGTTACGCTAAAAGTAGTTTCTTGACAAATAATTTGTCAGTCATTGAAAATATGAGAAGTTCGTTTTAAGACTAATTTCGATTATTTATAATGAAAACGTGGTATTGTTTATTGCAAACATATTGCAGAATCGTATGCATAGGTTCTCAGTATGAGAAATCGAAAAAATTGAATTTCATCGATTACAGCACCATCTGTCATGAATCGAAAAAAATGTTTCAGACAAACCCTACGTCCTTTTAGCCATAGAATCCGAATCTGCAATAAAAAATAGGGGTTCCCATTTAAGATTTCAAAGTTGCCCCCCCTCCCCCCAGGAGGTGGGGGGTGGGGGACGAATTTTAACACTAATGTATTTCCCCCGCGGAATGATTAAATTTTGATTATCAACATTTTTTTCGTTCAGTGCTTATTTTTCGAGATATTTCAAAGTTTCAGGTTAAAAAACTCAGTCTCTATAGCCAATTGATCCAAGATAGGACATGAGCAAATGAAAACCTCCGAGTCTCAGTATAATTCCAGACAATTCCGATGTTTCATTGATGCTGCCACAATTTCTCTAGCTTTCATGTACAAAGATTGGTCAAAAGTGACAATACATGTGCTGTGACCATACTTTTTTCCATTCTCAAGAGCACACCGTAAAGTCGTATAAATTGTATTGTAATTGCTTGCTGGCTGGTCGATGAATGGCAAAAACAAGATTCGAGATTTACAAAAATTCTGATCATTTTTCGTTAAACACTCAATATACCCATTCCATCCTGGTACTTCGGATCTACAACTCCATTTTTTATACATCCATAATATATCTGTTTTTCGGAGCATAGAGACAGTCGTTCCGTCATCGTGATTGATATTTTCAACTAAAATTTTTTTAAATCCGGATACGCCATAATTTTCATAAATTTGGATCGGCACGTGAGCTACTGCAGCAATATCCTTTGCACTTGGCATATTCGACAATTTTTTCATCGGTTGATCTGCTACGATCGCACTTGATGGAGTTATTATTTGAATTATTCCCATGATATGAACAGTATTATGACCATCAATGGTGAAAACATTTATATTAGCATTATCAGCGGTAAATTGAAGAAAAACGCCCGTTTCAGGTGGTAAAATGTAAGGCTGAGGATGATAAACTGCAGCAACTTCATACATAACTATCTCGTTATATGATGCAGTTATACCTAAACTTGATAAAATATCTAAAATACGTTTAGATCCAAATCGCCGATGAAGAAATATAAATAGGCCCAATTGCAGTCGAGATATAAACGATCTTGGTCGAGCTGCTGCCATGATAGCGTGATTTATCATATAGAAATGCACTTTAATTTAAATTGATCGAGTTTTTTTCTTCTATTTTTTAGTATGACTTCCTCCAAGAAATAAGTCAAGCTGTACGGAATTGGATCATTTATATTATCGAACATTTCATTTGTAGGAGGGTAATTAGTGTTGTCAACGATTACAGATCGAATATCTCCGCGAATAATAGCTGCAGCTGTTTCTAATATTCGGAGACGTTCTTCCCTTTTATTCGATTTTTTTTTATACCACGCTTTACTCAAAAGATCGCGCTGCACATCTATAAAGCAGATAATCGTCAAACTTCTATTTTTTGTCGTTATTACAATTTTCTCTCCATATCTCTCTATAAGTTTGTTCTTGATCGTTTTTTCATCCGGAGTAAAATCTTTGCAAACATCTTTCAACTCTGCCAAGGTGAATTGGCAGTCATCATTGTTTTCAATGTATGCATATATCTTTTCCATTGCCGATGTAATGCGAGAATCCTGTGGATGACCAACTTTACCTCCTGTTATAGGTTTTTTAAACGATACGTGGCAATCATGGTGATATCTTGCCTCATCAGCAACCAAATCTTCCTCATAAATTATTCGTCTTGTCATTGCCTTCGCCATGTCGTTGCCAAGCTGTTCAGCAGCAGCAATTATGGAATCTTTAAAAGAAGCCGTTGATACACGATGTATTATTCTACGACCTTTAATATTTTTCTTCTTCTCTTTCTCCTCATTGGCTTCTTCACCACAAAAGATGCATAAATGTTGGAAGTCAAACAAATATTCACTTGAACGTTTTCTAGTACGCGGCGGACTACTACCAGATGTGCTAGCACCTTCATCTTACTTCCTTTTTGTAGCGGCAATGCTACTCTTGCGAGTATACTCCTTACGACATTGAACATGGATTTTTATCGAGTTGACACGGAGTAAATGTCCAATTTTTTCATCGTTCCTTTCAACACTCGCGTCTCGCAACGTATCTATTCCGCGCTCCACAACAACAGTATTACCACTTGATAATGACTGGCAGCAAATCAAGCACACTTCTTCCATTATCGTATAATTTGTTGAAATTTTACGATTTCTAAAAATTTCACACAAATATTACAAAAATGCTCCGAAATATCAACTGACACGTCTGTTCACAGCCAAGAATAGTTGAATACTGATATTATTTTGTTTAATGGAAACAAAAATATATTCTTCAAAAAGTTTTGACTTGTTCCAAAAAAGTAAAGATCATATTTTATTTTTACATGCAGTTACTGGGTGCGATACAACGTCTTCATTATTTAATAAGGGAAAAACAAAAGCTGTAAAATTATTTGAAAAACGGAGCGATTTGACGAATTGTGCAGAGGTTTTCAAAATTATACAATGTTTCAGTTACTGGGTGCGATACAACGTCTTCATTATTTAATAAGGGAAAAACAAAAGCTGTAAAATTATTTGAAAAACGGAGCGATTTGACGAATTGTGTGTGTGCAGAGGTTTTCAAAATTATACAATGTTCACCACAATTGATTTTTGATAATGGAATACGTTTTATTTTGGCAATGTACGGTGCTCCACGCAAAGAAATATCAATAGATAATTTCCGATACTATTCATTTGTAAAATCTACAAGATTCAATAAGGCTGTGAAATTATCGATACTTTCTCCAATATCGAGTGCTGCACAACAACATCTATCTCGAGTGTATTATCAAGTGCAAAAATGGCTTGGGAACGACCTCAATCCCGAAGATTGGGGATGGATGACTGTAAATGAAAGTTTGGAGCCGATTCAAACTCTTTTACCCCCTGCTCCAGACATATTGTTGAACACTGTTTTCTGCAATTGCTCCAAAAGCTGCGGCTTTAACTGTAGTTGCAGAAAAATTGGTTTGCGCTGTTCAGCAGTGTGTGGTAATTGTCGTGGCTAGTATTGCTTGAACGCAACAGCAGATACCACGGAAGAGACCTACGCTGACATCAATGAAGAACTTGATCCGACAGATTTCTTAGCGGACATTATAGAAATGGAAGAGACGGACGCAGAGGCCATTGAAATTGAGGAGGCTCTAAAAATTCCAGAAGAAGCAGAGAATTGATTTCACAGTTTGAAAAAAAACAAAAAATGTGGATTAGGCCTACCGGAGACACCACATCCAAAAAAAAAAAAAACGCGCTTAGTACTCTACCTCAGCGGTGGTGTGGAATGGAGTACATTTTATTGATGAAGTACAAGGGTGGGACTTTGTGTTTTACTCAAAAACGGTTGGTTCTGCAAAAATAAGTAATGAGACCTTTTTTGTAGCAAATTTCATAAGCTACAAATTTCATAATAACTATGTATGCCGAAAAATCAATATTTTCAAAGATAAACCACATACACTACGCAAAACAATTAGGGGAGCGCTTTAAAACTTGCAAATTTTGCCGATTTTTGAGAAGCCATATCTTAGGTTAGGGGAATCGTAGGATAATGATCCTTGGCGCGTTTTAACGAGTGAAGCCTCGACTTTAAGACGGGTAGGGTTGAATTATTCGCCTCATCGAACTGTTTTGTTTGTGAGGGCCAAAATCAGATCGTGAAAATATTCTGGAAATACACAAAATACGCAGAATTATATTATGTATAACTAATCATATGGTCGATAAACATCAAAACTCGTGGTCAATAACGTTATTTATTATTTATATGCTACCGGCCCGCGATGTTTTGTCTATGACCGAAAAATTTCAGAGCGGCGTTGCATCGATTACCTTTTTTCAGTCTGATATTGCATGATATTAAGTAAATTGAGTGAACATAGCTTGTTAAACACCGTTCAAAAATATACGATCGAAATGAAGTATCGCACGCGGGATATATTTCATCACGTAAATGTCGCGAGATACTTATTAATTATTAATAAATAATCGACATATGTCTATATCACACGTTTGTATGATTTATTCGCTCCGGTAATTTACATTTACTCCATGCTTTCGATAATTGCAGGCAAATGTATATTAAAATCGATGAAAAATTGCTACCGAGATACGAGATATAATATATGCGAAAAATTTAAACATTGAATCATAATCGATCTATCATTACTTTTACATATTTGATATCGAAATTCCACTATACACACATATATCTCTTGATTTACACATTTACATATCTAATGTATTTTAATGTGTGTATAATATTAATTGCGCAGGTTCCGAAAGACAATCCAGCAGCTATGGAAGTAATATTACAGAACCTGACAAGCAATGCAAACAACTAAACGAAAGCAAAAACTAATTTTTGTATTTATAAATATAAAAACTAAATGTGTAATTTAGGTGATGGTATACTCAAATTATTTAAATTTTATCCGTTCTTCATAAAATTAAAAAGAAACAAACAAACAATTAAAATACTTATGCAGTTCCGATACAGGTTATGCAATTGTTAAAGAACAATTCTAATTATATTATCATATGCTACATTAAAATTATTGTATAATTTATACTATACATACACTGAAAAAAAAAGTTGTTAACTTGACTAAATGCGTTCAACTAATTATTATTTCTTTAATTGAAATATTTAAGTATGTAAATTAAATACGACATATTAAATCTAACATGATGTATTTGACTTAAGTACTTAAATATTTCAATTAAAAAAATGATAATCAGTTGAACGCATTTAGTCAAGTTAACAACTTTTTTTTCTCAGTGTATACAAATTACACGTTTTCTACTTCAATATATAATCATTCGTATGTGCCTAATTTACATTTCTTCTAACTTTTCATCTTTTAGACATATTGTTAATAAAAATGATTCATATTTGATAGCGCATCTGTGTATACGTTACTAAATATATGACATAACTATATAACTATCATAATATATATTTTTAATAATGTGTATTATTGTATTGTATTGTATTGTAAATCATTTATTGGTCCCCGAAGGGTTTCAAGGCGCTTTTTAGGAGCGTACCCGAACCTTTACAATGCTCCAGTTCATACATACTTCTTACATCTAAATCCGCTCTCTTATACATCTTTTCCTTACATCTATACACTTTCTATTTACGCTCTTACATCTTAACGCTGTTTTACACAACACATCGTTTCACACTCTCCTTCGCTCTTTCCCCTTGCTCCTAAATTTCCCTTTTTCCTTTCCTTCTTACGCTCTTCTATCTAACGCCACACACACCTTTTTTCTTATCTCCTCTCCCTTCTTTCCCTTTCTCATTTCTAACCCTCTTTGTTTCAGTGTAGCCAGATTATCCACGTTAGCAACACGCAACCGTAGTGGAGGGGATACGCACACAAGCGAAAACCGTATACATGTAATGCGCAGAGCGTTCTGCGCATTACATGTATACGGTTTTCGCTTGTGTGCGTATCCTCTCCACTACGGTTGCGTGTTGCTAGCGTGGATAATCTGGCTACACTGCTTTGTTTCCTTTCTATTCCCCTCCTCCTTTCATCCTGCCCTCTCCCTCCACAATTACTCCCTATCCTTCTCTCCCTCTCTACAATTCCTTCTTTATCTCTTGCCACAAAGAGGTATATGGTGGGATGGGACACAAGCGGAATCGAACCTGGGACCTGACGATTGTCAGCCCGCGATTCAACGCTCTGCGCTACTCATCGTCCTAATAATGTATATTATTATATAAGGAAAAATACATTATCTCTCTTATAAAAGACTACCTTTTTATTAAATCACCTAAATGTAAAATGTACAATTAAAAGATGAATTATGTAAAAGCATAAAATGCATATATTGTTGCAATTAACTTTGTAATCAACTTTTAACTTTAATGAGCTAATTCAATTTTTTAATTTAGTTAAAATAGTCAGTTTATCTACAACTCAGTTTTACTGAGTTAACAACTGAGTTAATTTTCGTTTAAGTAACTTTTAGCCATAGGCGTCCGCAGGGGGAGAGCAAAACGGGCACGTGCCCCCCCCCCGGAAAATTAAAAAAAAAATTTTTAATTT